CACACACACACACACACACACACACACACACACACACACACACACACACACACACACACACACACACAGGTAATGTTGGGGTTCTCCTCAGTTTGAGCTCTTTGTGTTCCTCTGCAGCACATCCAGCTCTGTATATTCAAATGTTCAGTCGTCAACATTAACTCCATGGAAAATAAATTCCTCAAACTTCTTTTTAAAATAATAAATTTAAAATCGCACCTGGTTTTGTTTATGTCGAGATGTTAAACTCGATATAATCTGGGTTACATCTAAAATTAGAGCCCAGCAACGTTTTTAAACATTCTTTTCTAAATTGAGACATCCTTTTTTTTTTTTGTCTGTTTCTCACACTGGCATTTCTGAAGCCTTTTTTTTGAAAACAGATTTAAATAAAAACAGCACTTTTCTGTTTTTTTAATGCAAAACAAGTGCTATTTTTTTTGAATTGCTGGCAGCTTTTATTACATTTACAGTCTGCCTGTCTTCTTTTCATTTGAGCTCCATCAGGATGAAAGCTGTGGCTGTAATAGCAGATACACACAGGAAAATACTGGCTTTAATAGCACCTTTTTTTTCCTGCTGGGCAGATTTTACTTTGTGCTGCAGAGAAAACAAAAATAAAATACGCAAATTTAATAGGCAAGTCGAAGACCGACGACTGAAGTCTCTGTCTGCTTTTGGGTTTTACGTCAGATAAGATGTATATACGGCTGCTGTGTGAGCGTACAGCTGTTCCTACCAAGACGTTCCCACACACAACGCCACTGAAGCAACCAGACGCCTGCATTATGATGTAAATCGCTCTAATAACCCAGTTTAGCTGCTGAGTGTCTGCCAGAGTGAGAGCTAGAGTGGCTGTGTGTGTCGAAACATGCACACAACAGAAACACGCTTAAATAAAAATGAAAAGAGAATAAAAAAGAATTGCGCACGCTACTGTTTTTCTGAAAAGGTCAAAAGAAAGGTCAAAGGTTAAACGCAATCTCTCTCCCCCCCCAAAAAAAAATAAAATAAAATCCTTGAACACGTCGAAACAGGAGACCAATGTCTACGTTTAGGACTTTCAACGCTGCGTTCAAGGTGCAAGTGTGTGTGTGTTTCATGTCTCTCCCTCGCTCGGTAACGGCTAATTTAGTGCAGGCAGAGCGCCACTAAAAACTGCTGCGAATTAAAATTCACCAGGAGGAGAAAAAATAGCACTCAAACAAATAATTAGTGGTGTTAGGATACTTTGAATAAATGACTTTCCCCTCTACGAGCAGGACTCACACTCACTGCACCGCTCAGTGGGGACGAGACAGGTGGGAAGTGTGTGTGTGTGTGTGTGTGTGTGTGTGTGTGTGTGTGTGTGTGTGT